CACACACACACACACACACACACACACACACACCCACCGTCTCGAAAATATGTGTCTTTGTATTGCATAAATGCAAAAAACGCATAAAAAAGGATGGAACTGGGCATTGGCCTGGAACGGTTGCACGCTGTGGACCCAGCCAGTCCCGGCTTTTTTGATTTTTCGTTCACTTGGCGAGGGATTTCTGATGCATGAAGTGAGTTTTTTTTTCTCTGGATCTGTTTTTAGTTGCACTGATGCGGTTGGACTGGCAGGAAATTTTGGATGAAATTTATCGTTTATCGTACTGTTATTTTGGGGTATCCGGAGCAGAAGTGCGTAATCGAGCAGTTCGTTTCGTTTATTATGAGTTTTTGCCTATATGCAAATTGCAAAAACGCATATTGCGACGACCCTGTCTGTGTGTATATGTGTGTGTGTGTGTATGTGTGTATGTGTGTTCGTCTGTCCGGGTATTTCAACTCGGCAACCAAACAAGTTCCAGCGCCAAGATTTTGCTAGAAGGTTCCCCGGCAAAGTGATACCTCAAAACCGCGGTACCAACCCTCACGCAGGTCTGAGCTCAGCGTGCGAAAGGGTGAAAGTTTTGGCGGACAACTGATAACTCGGGAACGAGAAAAGACAGAAAGCTGAAATTTTGAGGTTATGTTGCCCATCCACATACAACTCAAAGATTTCAAATTCAGCCTCCGGGTGTGCGTGGTTCCCGCGTACAGCCCCGAGAAATTTTCTGGCGGGAAAATGGCTAACTCGGGAATTACCAAAGTTGGAATGCTGAAATTTTCAAGGAATGTTCCTAGCACAAGTACAACATCAACCTATCAGTTTCAGCCCCCAGTTGTACCGTGAGATTTTTCAGCGGGAAAATGGCTAACTCGAGAATTAGCAAAGCTTAGAAGCTGAAATTTTCAGGGAATGTTCTCAGGCATGTACGACTTAAAGTTGTCAAATTCATCCCCCAGGCGTACGCGGTTCTCACGCACGGCCTCGTGAAATTTTTTGGCAGGAAAATGGCTAGGTCGGGAACTAACAAAGCTGGGAGGCTGAAATTTTCAGGGAATGTTCCCAGCCCATGTACGACTTAAAATTATCAAATTCAGCCCCCAGGCGTGCGCGGTTCTCACGTATGGCCCGTGGAACTTTGGCGGGAAATTGTTAAATTGTTAAACCGCTGAACGGAAATTGTTTATTTCCTTTTATGCGAAATTTTCGATGATTTGCGGTATTGGGTGCACAAAGTAGGTGTGAAGAAACAACAGTCCATGCAGTTAACCTAATTCAAATTCGATGCAAAAACGCATGATCGCATTGGCCTGTGACTTTTTCCAGCCTGGATTTATGTCTGTAACGCTAAACCATACAAAAATTGAAGATAACTGGCCGAAAGATGAGTCGCAAACGTAACACCGGAACTTGCATTTGCCTCACACATCCTACAGCTGTGACTTTTTCCACTTTAATGCCTGGAGAGATTGAAAACACACGCCAACGATCAGTCGTCTGTTCGGGCTGTTTTTTTAGATATGAGTGGTCTGGATCGAATGAATAATTTTCGTGCAAATTTTGTGGATCGAATGGTTGGCGACAAGGCGGAGTGCAGCCGATTCCAGATTGAGGAGCAGATCCTCAGCGAGGATGCGGATGTTGATTTGGCGAAGCTGGCACAATTTGCCTTCAAACATAATGTCCCCAAAATCCACCGTGTGCCCGTCTGGAAGTTGTTGCTAAGTTAGTCTCAGATTGATTCTTGACCATGTCCCACTTAGTGGCTTCCGTATTTGCTATCCTGAATGACGCCTGAAATTTATTACTTCTCATTTTTGCCATTGGTTTTCTTGATCAGGGTCCAAATTTGACGTTTTTTTCCGCTCCCTCATTCCACTCACTGCACACAACTTTTTAATACTTTCTACTCCTCTTCAGATTATCTTTTTATAACTTTAGTTATCGCGCATCTGAGGGCGTGTGTTTTACGCAAATGGTTTTGTTTTGAAGTGGAAATGAAATGCGTTAGCACTGCAGCAAGTGAACTCCTTTTTTTTTAGAATTACATGGTTTTTCTCAATACTGTAATTTAGGGGTGTCTTCCACGTCGCCGGAAGTGAGGAAGAGGGTTGCGGAACATCGAACTCAAGAGGTTTGCTCATTTTCCACATCTAGGCTTTCCTCCACTGCCTTGCGTCTAAGTGATTCTCAGTTGAGAAAGCTGTTGCCAGCAATTGGTTGCTGTTGCCAGCAATTGGTTGCTGTTGGAAGGTTCTCTCACTTGGGCTATTGCCAAGTGCTTTTGCCTTCCGTAGAAAGCGGGTACGAAAAGTTTTACGTTAGTTAAACTCCGGGGCTTCGTTACTGCTTTAGTAAACCTGTTTTAGGCCAAAATGTTATTGTCTTCGTTGTCTGCTATGCGTATGACTTCGCAGCAGTCTGATAATGTTGAGGAGCCCAATTCGGAATACCATCCGACGTCTCTCGATATTGCACATATGGTTGAGCTAGCAAATGGCTTTTCATCGTTTATGAGTGATCGCCACAGTTCAGATTTGGACTTCCGAGCACGACTGGCGGTAAATTTTTTCAAACTTCACGTTCAGTGCATCTCATAAGGGTTTATTGTTCGACTGACGAAAATGACGCAGTGGCAAGAAGCGTTGCTGTCGAGCAGAGGTTGTCCGAGTTCGATTCCGTCAAAGAAATGCTCTGAGTTCCATTCGTTTATTTCGGTCATAAATTGGCCCTAACGTGTACCATCAAAGCTTGCTTGCAAGCAGCCTTCAATAGAGGAAGCCATCAACAGCCTTGTTAGCAGATGGTTGCTCTTAGCACTTGCTGCCAGTCTGGCTACATCCGGTTACCTTCATCTCTCGCACACAGTGAATGGGGAAGAAAGTTTTGATGCTTGGCCCCTTGTAGGGCAAAAGGATGTTTTGCTTAATCCTTCTGTTCTCAGCAATTCTGGCTTTATCAGGATGCGATACTACCTTAGTGTGCTGTGCTTTTTTATGTCAGCTGCTCGAAATTGTTGGCCTTTTTGCTAGTCATTGTGCTATGGGAAAAAAAAGTCCTGAAGGTCTCAATAAAGACACCAACAAGAGGCGCCCTCTTCCTGACGGAGAGGGAGAAGTATTGGTGTCAAAAATGCATTTTACATCGGTGAAATAAACTGATGTATACAGTTTCAGGATAAGAGAATGCAGCTGCTTGTGATTAAGCCTGGTCCATCCTTCCGCCGCGTGGAGTTATTTTTGCCTTTTGGGACGGGAAATTTCGCTTATTACCTTTTTTTTAATATTTAAATAACACTGTTTGGTTGAAAGACGAGTGCAAAGCCGTTATTAACCTGATGTGACGGAAATCCTTGCTAGTCATCTTTTTCAAAAGCTTTAGGGCGCTTCAGATCGATTCAGGTGGGGAACTGGGTAAATTTGTTCGGTTTCAGACTGATCTTCATGGACAGCAAATTGATTCTGACTGATAGCAGGGTAGGTTGTAAAGTCATTGAAAGGCCCATCTGGGTGTAGTAACATTTGGGCACTCAGCACACGCCGTTGAATCTTCAAGTGGCTAAAGCGTTGCGAAAGCTTTTCTGGTAGCCGGTAGTCATTCAAGAGAGGAAAGGAATGTTGGGTCGACAAAAGACCGACAATAGGCAGTGCGGTATTGGTCAAAACAATCATAAAATAAAGGAAAGAAATGGCGTTGTTGTCGACTACATCAGTAATGAATCATTATTTGATTAGTAGCATTTTCAAGTGTTAAGCAAATAGATGTTAAGCAAGTGTTAAGCAAATAGATATTAAGCAAGTGTTAAGTAAAATAGTAAGGTCTGTCGTTGAATTTGGTTTCCAATTATTGAATTGTTCGTGCTCGTGGCAGTAGCCGGGCCACTTTAAATGCTGATGATGTCATAGATTGCGAGACGTATGTCACTGATGTGTGAATCGAATTGGGTGGATGCTTATTGGCTTACGAAAGCTTTCGATGATATTCTGTCGCATATTTTCACTCCCAGTGTTTTGCCAGAGGTTAGAGTTAGTATTTAAAAATGACACTTCGGCTGAATTCCATTGTCCAGCATTGTTTCTCCATTAACTGTGGTCAGATGTGTTGCCTAGTTTAGCTCAGGATCCTTTGCTTTGTACAGCATTCCGTCTTCACATGTTTTTCCTACACACCTATTGTCCGGACAGATTGATGTTGTTGGTGGAACTGTAAGGGGCTGCAAGTTTAAAAAAATTTACCTTTTGACTGTGAGAATTGGTTGAAATATTGTTTTTTTTTTTTGTTTTTTATGCGCTTTTGCTATGCGGCGCTATAGCGCTGCTACAGCGAGCAAAAATGCATATTGTTGAGAGGTCGTCTCTGTGTGGGTGTGTTCGGAAATGAGTAAACTTTGTCACCCATTTTCATCTTAGCAACCAGGAAAGCTGGGAGGCTGAAATTTTGGGTATATGCTCATACTTCGTGTGTCATCTTTCCTTTTTAAAATTTTCGTTCATACGCGCCTAGACCTCGCGTACAGACCCCCCTCCCCTCTCCCTCGCTTTGACTAGAAATGATTTCGCGAACCAGGCAAGATACAAAGCTGAAACTTTGCAGAGATATTCTATTTGCATACGCGAGCTAATGATTTCAAATTCGGCTGTGCGCACGCTTGTGCAGCGCGTACGACCGCGTCAAAGTTTGCACTTGGCACTGTCCTAACTTGAAAACTTGCTGGAAAACATGGCTGGAATTTTGTCAACATTTTTATCGCCCATATGAGAAGTCATATGCCCAAATTGAGTTCCGTTTTACACTTGCGCCACGGCTTAGGGCACTTCAAAGATATTTGTAGCGAAATGGCTGTTTCGTTTGCTAGATAAGGTACGAAGCTGAAACTTCCCTGGGATATTCTACTTTCGTGCGCAGCCTTAATTCCGCTTGGAGGTGCAATTCTCTGCAGGTGGTTATTAGAAGTACTCAACTTTACCGCAAACTCAACAAAGGCTGGAACGCACCAGGCGAGCCGGTGCGATCATGCGTTTTTGCATCAAAACT